TTTTTTTTTTTTTTTTTTTTTTTTTTTTCCCCCTCCCGTTAATCTGGCCTTGTGTTGGAATTCATCCTGTTTTCTTTTTTCTTTGCTTAGTACCACTTATGAGACCCCACCCAGCCTCCTGTCATCAACTCTCTCCCCAGGGGACCCCCACTCCCCCCGTCCTACCTCAGGGCCTTTCTCCGCTACTCACCACATGCATAAAAGACAAAAAATATGGTGGTGTATCTTCCCTTGTTCTAGCTGAAGATGGTGGTGTATCTTCCCTTGTTCTAGCTGAAGATTCATTCTCTTTTTGCAGATTTCGTGAGTAGTGAGTGGAGTGAGGCCGTCAGTGTTACCACTCAGGAAAATCACCCATGCACCATCTTGGAGGGGCGACCAGGCCTGACAGCTACGCAGGAACCCTGGTCAGCGTTGGATCTAGACAGAAAATTGCCCCAAATATTTGCGCGAGCCCTGTTGTAGGGGTACTTCGGGCGCTACCATTTTCCCTCGCACAGACCACACGGTAATTATCACTGTATGTAGACAGAAAATCGACCCAAATACAGCTGTAACGACTTCACGTTCTATTCGGGGAAGAGCACGGTACGGTAGGCGTAAGCATTCTCTCTACAGACCCTAAGTGCCCCCCGAAGCATACCCAGGCACCCCTAGTGTATGGAAACTGTCCTTCTCCGGCATTCATCCTTAAACTACCAGTACTTCCCAAAGTCGTGTCCGTTAACAAGCCACGATTTTAGGAAACGTACTGGCCACTACAGGAGTGCGCAATTTTTCATCCGACTAGAAACCATAGTTGCGGCGCACCTCGGTGCACGGATTTGCGCACGATTTGCACACCGCGTGCAGCGCACTCAAGCGCACCACATTGTTAAAATTCGGTCCAAAAAAAAAAAGAAAAAGTAGGAGTTTTGTCATTCCCTAGGGTCCCCAACTCGGCAAAAATGTTAAACACACCGCGCGAGCTCGCAAACCGGTCACGCCCCCGGCCCAAACTTTTTTTTGGGCAAGGGCTGCCGAATTTCAATTTCCGCAGGCCCTACCCCCAGAAGGGCTCATTCCAACTTTTCTCTTAGGCGGGGTATCCCACTTTTCCGCCCTGAGTAACCATGAATGATCCTGAAATTAGGGTTTCGGGGTCAAATTTTGTGTTTTTTTGGATTTTTTTTTTTGGCTGTTTTTGTTTTTGGACAAGCTTGCTGTGTGTCAAATTTGGTGTCATTAGGATTATTAGAATTTGTGCTGTTGATCATCCTGAAAATCCTGAAATTTCGATGAATTTTTTTTTAGCAAAAATTGCCTGAAAATGCACTTTTGAGGTGCTGTTTTATGTGTTTATAATTTTTTTTTTTTTTTTTTTTTTTT